GAATATTATTCTACAACTCACTGCAGGTCACAATTAAGAAAAACCGTATCAGCCATTTTGTAACTGTTTAAAATTTTATTTTTAACATTTAGCACCAAAATTATCCGTCCAGTGAGTTAATAGTCCTTTAAATGTTAGTGGATGGATATGTGCATTGAGGTTACTTAGCAGAGCCCTATTTCAGAATGCACGTTTCAGTTCACGGTCTGCAGTTAGAGGAAATTAGCCTCAAAATAAAACTACTTTTCATGTAACTGAACGTTTCTGCTTAATATCCCTCCAATGGGAAGCCTCAGTCTGCTTATTGTAACCAGCTAGCCACCAATTGTGAAATTCTATTATCATTTAGAATAAAGCAGTGTTTTATATCTGTATCTATGTTTACAATAGTAGTTTAAGCATGACTCTTCCCTTCTTGTTTAATTACATTTTTACTTTTTTATCGCAGAGAGCGACCGGCAGCGATTACCATTGAAATAAAGAGCATTGATGACACTTCCAATTTTGATGACTTCCCAGAGTCTGATATTTTACAGCCAGGTATGGCTTATTGATCCATGTCCTGGGGCTGGGTGTGCCTTTTATTTCCCCAGGGGTTTTAATAATTTAATAACAACGGGCATTCAGAGCATCACAGAGACTATTAGACTATTAAAAATATAGAATTATTTTTTTAAAGGTTATTGCATTTAATGAAACATAATGATTATTTATTATGTATTTTAATGCTGTATACTGGTTTTTTTTTGTTTTTTTTCTTAGTTTTGTTTTGTTTTTAGAAAATTTAATTTTTTTTTAATCTGGCTGATCAGCCATGTTCTATCAAACTCTGTTATCGGACCAAGTGCTGCTCGGCCTAACTTGCTGCGGCTGTTATTGCTCTGTGTGAACATGCAGCAGGGAGCAAGTTTGGTTAAACAGCAGTTGGTCAGATAACCGTAAATTCTGAGTTTATGTTAAAACACTTAAAGAGACAATTCCAAAACGGGGAAATAAATAATTCACAAAAAGGCATTGTCACTTCAGTTGCTTTGGACGTTGACCTCTTTCACACCGGGCACTGGTGTTGCATCTCTGACAATCAGCAGTGCTCACACACATTTAACAAATATACATTTATATTCTATATTTTAGTGAAATGCATTTCTATAAAATTTCAGAAATAAGTACAACTTTCACAATTCAAATTTTGTGTATCCTGATTGCTCACAGCCGGTGTTTAAATTCCGACTTGCAGATTATGTAATTTTTTAAACATAAACCAAATTAGACAATTTCAGTTTTACAAACCATTATTCACGTTGTTATATGTCGTATTATTGATCTTGTCGTCTTTATTTCAGTGCCAAATACAACAGAACCAGACTACAAATCCAAAGACTGGGTGTTCCTAAACTACACATACAAGCGTTTTGAAGGCCTGACGCAGCGCGGCTCCATACCATCTTACATGAAATCAGGGAAGCTCTGATTGTACCTGAACTTTTACTTACAGACAGCGCCGCAATGTATCTGCCAAGCAGCGCGAACATTCAGCAAATCATTTCTAGACTTGACAGCAATTCTACCGGATTAGGATTCTGACTCCACTAGAAACGTGTTTACATGGCCAGTTGGCTTTCCTGCCTGCATCTTCATTTTTATTTTACGAAGAAGAATTTTATGTTTAATGTTATTATGCAAGGGTACGGGAGTGGATCGGCGAGCACGCTATTTACCTGGTTGTAAATGAGCGTTCGCTGTGTATAAAGGGCAATTTTTATAACTATTTTTTTTTAAACTCTACACTGCCCCTAATTCTGTGTAAATGTCAAGAAGAGAAAGCATTGACAATGTTCAGATATTATTAACCCACTCAGTGCCATCGGTGTCATGCTAAGGATTAAAGTCCTGGACAACATTTTATTTTTTATTTTATTTTTTAAACTGTATTTTTTCTTTTTAACTTTTAAATTATTTATTCTTTTTATTCTGAATTTTCCCCGCTAATCACAATGCGTTCTTACTATCTTTATGGTGTGGCTGGGATAATTCTGCTATAAAGTTGGAATGTCTGAATCTCCTGCTATGAATAAATTGTTCGTTGTTGTCTTTATGCAAAATTCTGTTCCTGGCTCAAAACACATTCCTGGAGGGATCTTGCTGACCTGAGCAGTGTTTGTCTCACATTTTAGGGTTTACGATTTGCCGGGTATTAATAATGTAAATGTTTTGGCCACAGTGGAGAAATTGGAAATATTTCCTGATAATATATATGTTTGTTTGAAATTGTTTTGCTTTTAGTAGTACAACTATAACGTGACAGTCAGCACGTCTGATATTTGGTTCCATAAGGGGCCACTACCATAAATTCTTCAGGGAACTATTCGTCGCTGGTGTGTGAAAAGCTAAGGTAGGGATACAGTGAGGGAAAAGTATTTGATCCACTGCTGATTTTAAAAGCCTGCCCACTGACATAAAAAAGATCAGTCTATAACTTTAATGGTATTAAAATAAATGTATTTAACAGTGAGAGAATAGCAACAAAAAAATCCAGAAAAACGCATGTCAAAAAATGTATCCCTCACTGTATAAGCAATTATTTATTTAAGCGTGTTTCCAGGAATTGTTTTTTTTTTGGGGGTTTGTGACACTAAATCTTTGAGGATGATGTGCTTTGAAAGCCCTGCGCAGTACTGTATGTCCTTCAGCATCCGGCCTGATCTCCCCCAGAATGCTTTGCATTTGGGACAGGCCAAAGAAGATGCCGAGTGAGATACCGACTTGCAAGGCAATTCCATGCGCTATATCTTTACCTAGCGATGTCAAAACATTAGGAAAATATTTTATTTAATGCGTTAATCGTTTCATTTTTTTTTTTTTATAGATATGACCAACAAATGTATAGATCAAATGATATTCTGATTAAATCAGGAAGATCACCTGATACGAGTTCTTTCCTAACTATGCCTTGGGGGGGGGGGGAAAGCATTTTCCTGGAATACATTTACCATAAACGTTATCCCAATTTAAAGCATACCGTCCGGTACTGACTTTCCTGTGTAATGTGAACATATTCATGAAATAAATCCTACCCACCACCCCCTCTGGAAGAATTTATGGCAGAGTTGAAATATTAATCTAAAGTAATATTTATTGATTTTATGAGACCTATTAAGTTTATTTATATTTCTTGTCTTGGCTGTTGATGAATGTGGTATTTATATTGGTTTAAAAGATATAACCCTTTGCAACCTCAGCAGTCACTGATCATAGTTGTACTATGTTAAACCCCGTTTTAATGTATGTAAAGCGCCCTTGTGCGTTCGCTGGCTCCGATTGCTCAGCAGGGATTTAGCTGAGCTACCGGAGACTCTGAATATCTGGTTAGTCTTCGTCTGGTAGCGTGATTATGGTGCTTTCTGCTCGGCATCATAATTACTTTACGCAGTGACTGTTCGATTTGCATGGCTTGCCTTTATTTTAGCTGCAGTACTCATGATGTCATCTTGAGGTGGTTTTAGTTTGATCAGTGATGGGTTCAGGTAATAATTCATATTAGCTGAATGCAGGCTGTAATATTGGTCACTATATAAAACACTGCAGGATATTGGCAGCAGGAACTAACCACAAAATTCGATCGTGTTCTCTACCGAATGTGTTAATTGTGGAAGATCACCGGCACCCTTTACTGTCACTTGAAGAGCTCACTGCTTGGAACCCCTTTATAACACTCAGCAATTTGTGGAACTGTCCCTGGGAATGATCGTAGCGAGCTTTTTGTGTAACGAGAACCAATCGCCTGGGAAATGTTACAAGGTGATCTATTTACTGCGATTTTGATTATATTTTAATGGAGATCTTGCCACAAATGGAACTAAAATTAAATTTCCTACAGAGAACACTGTTGGTTCAGCATTCTAAGAAAAATGTTCAAAAAATTTCAATAAAGTTTTTTTCCACCTCTGCAATAGAAAAATAACATTTGCTTCTATCCAAGAAATTCTACCCCCAGTGAAACAGGCAGCAAATCACTCAACTGGACCCACCGTGTGATCGTTGTATATTAAATGGGAATTCTAGGTGATCATATTGTAGTCCAAAATATCCAAATTGGAATATTCTAGACCGGGTTAATCTTGATCATAAAATAAATATAATCATTGTAGAGATGGAATGTTACTCTGGATAAAGCTGTGCTATAAATAATCAAAATATATCTTCCAAATGGCACACTCACCGCTAATTATCTAAAGCTTCCCTCTCCCACTGCTGACCGTAACTTTCTGAAATGAGAATATGCAGCCCCAAAACAAGCCTATCCCAGGCTCCGAGGGGCCGATTGCCATACTTCTCGGTTATGTCACCTGCTCTATAAAGCAATAAAATACAACTTCACAATTCACCAGCCGTCCATAGCTGTCTATACTGGGAATCTGTACTCAAACCAGCTTACCTTGCTTAAAGCCTCCTCTAACACCCACGATGCCAGGCTTACAGCTGTTGACCTGCAAAGACCACAACTCGCCACCACGGAAAGAATGGATGCTTTGGAGGATCAGTGACGGAGATATAATCTAAAGTGAGGGGGGTTCCAGAGTCAGTGGGCCTCACCGACACCCCACTTTATCCGCTGCCTGTTTGCCGCCCTGCTACCACCGAAACAAGTGAAAGCTTTTAGATTGGATGGGATGTTTTGCTTGCCAAAACCGCCGAACACTCAAACATTAGCAACCGCGGACCTAATCCTCCGTTTACAGTCCCTTCAAGACAAGGCCTCGCTGCTAGCTGCTTGATGGGGGAAGACCCCACTGCCCTTTGAAGGTGCCACTATACTGATCTTCCCAGACCTCACGAAGGGTACACTCACCTGGCGAAGAACACTACAACCGCTATTGCAAGCCCTCCATAATGCAAACATTCCCTCTAAATAGGGGAACCCACGGGTGCTCCTCTTCACCCATGATGGATCCACTTATAGAGCATGGAGCTCACAAGAACTGGAGCCACACCTGCATACCCTACACTTACTGGAGATCCCTGTATCGGAGAAGGCTTGACCCCGCAGTTATCCCAGAGTTCACCCCTGTGCGTTCCGGTGTCCCGGGTCTGCTAGATCACTGATGACAGGAGGGACTGTGCCCTGAAGCAAGTAACCGATCCAGAAGGGAACTCCTCACTCCACCATAATAGATACACTGAGATCTTAATATTAATAGACATTTGACTATCCACCAAGCACCTGTTGAATTATGTTTTCGTTTCTCCTATGATTTAAGCCTTTATATTCTACTTGTGTCTGTTTATGTGCACATTACCACTGCGACTCATTATTAACGATCCTGATGATGGCAACTCTGCAGTTATTTACTGGTTATACGCGACTGTACATTTCACACTAGTCCCGCTGTGACCTGAACCGTCTTTCACACTCCCCTGCCTCCCTCTTCCCCCTCGGTACCATTACTTTGAATTATGTAAAATTGACAGTCCATAGTCTCCAGGTGGGGGGAGACTTCCTTGTTTGGCACTGCACTACTACATATGTTGGCTAGACCTTACTCACATGCCCACATAGGGAGCTCTCACTTTGTTGTTGCATCTGTACCAACTGTTTTATTACTACTTTAAAAGAATAAACATACTGCATGCATTCAACCGTTTGACACTGTGCGGCCTTGTGGGCCTGACTGTATCTTGCTGATCTACCGTTGTGTATTGCTTTACTCACATGCAGTATGTAAAAAATATATATATAAAAATATATGTAAGTGGATTGGCGCCGAATAAAATGAGAAAATAGTAGCAACAACCCCCAGTGTCTACGAATCACTTTAAAAGACACTAGATAGACAATACAAACAACAAAGTGAGGGAGGTGCAACACAGATAATGATTAATACTTAACAATATGAGACCTCTTGATCATTCTGTAAAAACGGTATACAAAATAGACCTAGCATAATACTGTTTAAATAATTGATTTAGAATAGAGGTAATGGGTCACTCACGATCTTCAGAGCCCTCCGGAGCAGGCTCTAGCTGTTTCAGCAATTGAATACTAAGCTTATTCACGCTATACATACGGTATATCTTTATCCTCCTTCCAGATGGGTAAAAATGTAAACGATGTCAAATGAGGAAGTAAAGAAGATCTACTTCAAATAAAACCAATGTGACAGTAAAAACACCAAGTAGGGAGAAAAAATAATAAAAGTTCAATACTCTGATGCGTTTCGACCTCCCGGTCTTTTTCAAAGTGGGTATAACTCCTCGCCCAGCGTTGGTTTTTAATCGCTGTATCCAAAATAGATTTTCGCGCCAATTCTGGCTTCTCACTTCCTCATCATGATGATGTGATGGCAGGAATGTCATCACGTCAAAGCATCGCGACTTCCTGACGTAATTTATACAAGAGAAATGGTCCGTTCTAATGTTTCAGGAAGTATGGATAACGGAAGTTCTAATAGCACCGTTATAGTAATGGGCGCGATAGTTACATATATAAATCATTTTGGGGATAAACAAACCGGGCAAAAAGGACTAAAAAAGAAAATGGATGATTAATAACATTAAAAACATATATAATATAATTGAGGCAAATACAATGTGATGTATAATAGGAGAATAATATCACTAAAACAACTTTATTAAAAAATATATAAAAATAATATAGCAACTATAGAATACCCTTAAAACCTGCAATTTAAAAAATGATGCAGTAAAAAATAAAATAGAATAAAACACAGGGAATATTCATATAAGTCCACCTTGAGATAACCGGGAGACAAGGAGTCTAGACTAAATATCCACCTCATCTCACAGCGGCGCAACGTGGACTCCAGGTGGCCCCCTCTCCAGTGATTTTTTTTTTTTTTTTAAATCAACTGGATACCACAAAATTGCAGTCCGGTGGGTTCTACACCATGAGAATTTAAAGGACCACTCTAGGCACCCAGGCCACTTCAGCTTAATGAAGATTAATTCAGAGAAACTGCTATGTTTATGTTAGGGTTAATCCAGCCTCCAAATCCTCTAGTGGCTGTCTCATTGACAGCCGCTAGAGACGCTTGCGTGATTCTCACTGTGAAAATCACAGTGAGAACACGCAAGCGTCCATAGGAAAGCATTATGAATGCTTTCCTATGAGACCGGCTGAATGCGTGCGCAGCTCTTGCCGCGCGTGCGCATTCAGCCAAAAGGGAGGAGGATCGGAGGCGGAGAGCTCCCCGCCCGCCACTGGAAAAAAGGTAAGTTTTAACCTCTTCCTCTCCCCAGAGCCGGGCGGGAGTGGGACCCTGAGGGTGGGGGCACCCTCAGGGCACTATAGTGCCAGGAAAACGAGTATGTTTTCCTGGCACTATAGTGGTCCTTTAAGAAATTTAGGGAAACGTTGCCTCAATTATATTTTATATGTTTTAATGTGTTGTTATTTATCATCCGTTTTATTTTTTAGTCCTTTTTGCCCGGTTTATCCACTTGAGAAAGCACTAAGGGGAGAAACGCGTTGTGGAAATTTTAACTAACTGTATTTTGATGAAGGTATTTTGGCCACTTTCTTTGTTGTGAGCTAGCCATTTTATCTTTTTTTTACCATTTTTATTATTTTCCTACCTGGCATCTGATTTTTACTTGTTCCAGAGAGATACTACTCCAAAGCATCCTTGGTGGGGATGCTTACGTCCTATCATTGAGCAGTGTGTCTGCCCAATTAAATGTGAGTAACCATTGGGTATTTTTATACACTCTCCTGGTTTTATCACAGTTGTTATCACTATTGTTGAGGACGTCCAGCAACGCTCTAGCACACGGAAGTGCCCTCTAGTGGCTGTCTAGTAGAGGAGTAGTTAACCCTGCAAGGTAATTATTGCAGTTTATGAAAACTGCAATAATTACACTTGCAGGGTTAAGAGTAGTGGGAGTTGGAACCCAGCCCACTCCAATGGGCAGAAGTGGTCTGGGTGCCTGGAGTTTCCCTTTAATCAAAGAAAGAATGATTCTCCATATCGAGATAGCTCCCCACCCCCACAAAGAAGAGAAATCCCGACCTTTAATCGGTTCGAACCCATTAGAGACCTAGAAGTGAATGGAGCCACTCCTTTTTTAGGGAAAAGCTGGAGGGAACCATCCACAAGCACCCCAATTCCTGTAAGAGGAGATACAGAGATTTAGAAGAAGGGGAAATAGGGGGAGGAAAAAGATTGGACAGATCAAAGCGGAAACAGAAGGAGGAAATGGGAATTTTTAATTTATCTGAAAGTTTTAAATCCTGCACAAATTAGTATTTTAAATAATGGTCTTAAATTTGCAGCTAGTTGTACGATGGATACATTTGAGGCACATACAGACCTAAATAGATTTATGAGGAGACGGTGTCTAAAAAAGTTTTTCAATAAAAAACCTATTACTGACAGAGGAGATAATCAGAATGTTAGTAATAATGATTTTCTACATACGGCTCTTAAACAGCCATCCTCTCTTTATCCCGTTCATTTGAAATCTAATTGTATGAAGGTGTTTGTAAAAGCAGTTGTTAAAGATATTAAAGAAGAGAAGAGAGGTTAGCTATGAATGAACTAATTAAAGACTCGCAGGTAATAATCAAACCCACTGATAAGGGATGGGGGTAGTTCTAATGGATAGAGATAAATATATTAGCGATTCACCGATAACTGTGCGACATTAATACATGTAAAAAAATTAGAAAATAATTGCCAAGCGAAAATTAAAAATGAATATGTCAAATATTTGGACAAAGGACTTATGAAAGGAATTCTGACTCCGTCGGAATATTAATTCCTTAATATCCAATTTCCAAAAATACCGGTGAGAAATATATTACCTAAACTACATAAAAATGCACTTAATCCTGCCGGAAGACCTATAGTCTCCGGTGTCGGATTCCTTTTATCTAATTTATTTAAATATGTAGATACACATCTTAAACCGATAGTGAAGACAAATTTATCCTATCTTAAAGGACCACTATAGTGCCCTGAGGGGGCCCCCACACTCAGGGTCCCCCACCCGCCAGGCTCTGGGGAGAGGAAGGGGTTAAAAATCTTACCTTTCTCCAGCGCCGGGTGGGGAGCTCTCCTCTTTCTCTCCGCCTCTTCTCCTCCTCTTCGGCTGAATGCGCATGTGCGTCAGGAGCTGTTCGCGCATTCAGCCAGTCTCATAGGAAAGCATTCATAATGCTTTCCTTTGGACGCTGGCGTCTTCTCACTGTGATTTTCACAGGGAGAAGCACGCAAACGCCTCTAGCGGCTGTCAGTGAGATAGCCACTAGAGGCTGGATTAACCCTCAGTGTAAACCTAGCAGTTTCTCTGAAACTGCTATGTTTATAAACAAAATGGGTTAACCCTAGCTGGACCAGGCACCCAGACCACTTCATTAAGCTGAAGTGGTCTGGGTGTCTAGAGTGGTCCTTTAAAGACTCTATGAGGTTATTACAACTACTTAAAGATTTTAAATGTGAAAATGATTTTTACTTGTTACGTGTGATGTAACCAGCCTCTATACCCGCAGAGACCATCTTTTAGGATGTGAGGCCACACGATTTTTTCTAGAAATCTCTGCACTGTACCCTGCGGACCAAGTGGATTTTATTAGGGAGGGAGTTCTTTTTATCCTCAGGAATAATTTATCTTGGTTTGAGGGAGACTATTTTTTTTACAGTGTAGAGAAACAACCATGGGGACCAGATTCACACCTAGTTACGCTAATTTATTTATGTCATATTGGGAAAATAATGGTCCTCTATAAGAGGTATATTGATGTTATTTTTCTAATTTGGAGGGGGATGAGCATTCTATTTTAGATTTTTTTTTTTAATTTTTAAATTTAAACCAATGGAATATTCATTTAACCCAAGAAATCAGTAAAGAAATATATAAATTTTTTAGATCTGAAATTTTTTATAGAAGATAAGGTTAGCACACACACTAAACCATTACATCCACTTTCAGCCATGGTTAGACAATATCCCTAGAGGGCAATTTCTTAGTTTAAGGCGCTGCTGCACAGAATTAAACTCCTCAGGGAGAATTGTTAAAAAAAAATAAAAAAATAATAAATTTCTAGATCGTGGTTATAACTCCGATCAACTAAATGAAGAGATTCAACAAACTAGGGAGCTAGATAGAGAATCCCTACTTAACTATAAATCCAAAAATATAAGAGGAGAAAAAAAATTGCTCTGATTTGTAATCACCGTAAGGATCAAAGACAACTTAAAAAACGTTGACTAAAAATTGGCACATTTTGAAACAAGACCAA